CTCCCTTTGTCCTCCTCCTCCTCCTCCTCCTTCCCTATCCAGCGTATAAGATGACCTCAACTTTTAAGACCCTTTTCCAGAGTTAAAAAGTCATCTTATATGCCAGAAAATACAGTAGTTGTCTTGACCAGCCTGCTTTCATTTCATTTTGTTTTTTGTTTCATTTTTAATGTGAGAAGTTTTCTGCTAATAGGAGGCTACAGAAGGAAAAGGAAAGCAGGTGGCTAAATTGACGAAACAGGTTGTTCTGTAGCAGTCACAAACAAATGGGTTTGCTTGCTGGAAGGAAATGAGAGCAGCTTCAAGCCAAACAAAACAAGCGCCAAGTTAGATGGTGAAGTGGGACATAGTCTTTTGTTCTCCTGTGTTTTGCAGGTCCGACTTCTCAACATTATCTTACTCTTTTGAATAGTTCGTTGACCTGCAGTCATGAAAAATTAGGCCAGTAAGGAAAGCCAAACTTCAGGTTTTAATTGCTCTTTTAGAAATCAGAGATACAGTGTAAGTTAATGTCTTGAGATATGCAGGGTCTGAATCATTGAAATAAACCCAAAATATAATTAAAATTCACTTTTAAAGCAGTAGTCTGCTAACCTTTTATTGATTTAAGTGGTGGATGTGAGAGTTAAAACACATCAGATTATTTTTTGTTTTTGTTTTGTTACTTTGAGAGAGAATTTAAACAGAGTATTGAAGATGGCTTTTTCATCTAGCAGTGTTTTAACCTGAAACTTAAGAAGCATCTTACTTCCCACTTCAGTATCTCAAAAAATCAGTTTTAAGGAGATTTATTTCCATGTAATAAGTCTGGTTAAATAAAAGGCAGATGATTAAGCCTCCTGTGGGCAGAAAGTGGATCAAGGTCCACTGATGGATTTCCAGTGATCTACAGTATACCACCAGGCATTTTTAACTCCTGTTTGTTGATTATGAGATCACAACTACAAAAAGAAAATAATTAAGCTGTTCTGAAATCAAGAAAGCCTGGTGGAAAGAAAGAGAAGATTTGTGTGTAAAAGGAGTTGTGTGCACTTTCTTCCACGTGGCACTGAAAACAAGTTCCTTAGAAACATCTTCTTCTTTAGTCCTGTGTCCCTTTTCCTGCACTGTTATTTTTGCTCTGGTTCTAGTTGGTGACTTTCAAGAGCTCTAGGGCAAAGCAAAGTTCACCTTGCCACCCAAAAGTCTTCTTAAAAGATGGTGTTTAAAATTTCTCTGTTTTCTAATAGAACATAAGGAGTCTGAGACAGTGAAGTTGATCCCCTCTCATTATTTAAGAACATATAAGCACCATAAAAGTGAGGGATTTGGAAAGGTATCTTAGGGCCTTTGCAGACTGCTAGAAATAGTGCAAATTGAGTCCACTTTAACGGTTAGGGTTAGGGAATCATGGGAACTGTATTTTATTGTGGCACCAGAGTTCTCTGACAGAGAAGGCTCAATGTCTCAGAAAAAAAAACACAATTCCCATGATTCCCTAGCACTAGCCCTAACCCTTAAAGTGGACTCAATTTGCACTATTTCTAGCAGTCTGCAAAGGCCCTTAGTCATTTTAGTGAATGGGTTTTAAGGGAGGAAAAACTCTGATGTGGAGAATGTATTAAGGGAATTATCTTATGCAGTTGGAAATTATTGCAGTTTCAAAGTAGTTCTTGGCAGAGTCTGGTAAAAGATAAACGACATCTTCCTTCCACATGAAAGTCAATCTTTTTGTGAGAGGTAGGGAGGTGTCTTTTACTTTTATACAGGTGTACCTTAGTTAACAAAGCTTCTGAGGATGAAGCTTTTTAAATTAAGGCTTTTGTGCACATAGCTAGAATCATCTTCTTCCCTCTTAGTGGAAGAGAAAAGCCTTCCAGTGGCACCAACCCACCCACCAGGCTTGAAGCTATAGTGATGAATCATCAGCTCCTTCTCTGTACTGAGGGACTGGACAGAAGACTGACTCTTTAGGTTGCTAACAAAGATTTACTGACATATGTGTAGAACAGATTAACTCTGGCTGTGCAGTGGGACATACAGGGGAACTGGCTGTTGGGGATTTCTAAACCCTTCCTCCCAGTTCAGTAAAGTATGTTAACCCTTTTTGTTCTGGTTTTCAGTGGCTCAGCCTGAGGTCTCAGATAATTGTTTTCATTTAGGTTACTACGAAAGTGAGCTAGCATGGTGTAGTGGTTTGAGTGTTGAACTATGACTCTGGAGAGCAGGGTTCAAATCCCTGCTCTGCCATGAGAACCCATTGGCTGATCCTGAACAAATAACACTCTCTCAGCCACAGAGGAAGGCAAAAGCAAATCCTCTCTGAAAAAAATCTTGCCAAGAAAATCCCATGATAGGGAATTACTGCGAGCTTAGGGTCAAGAAATGACTTGAAGGCACACAAGAACAACAAGGTTGCTACAACGAAATCCTACAAGATAAAAGAAGAAAAGACAAATGTCCATGTAGAAAGGCAAATATCCATGTATTTTAGAAGAAACCTTCAAGTGATCTCTAGAAGGTTCATTATGTTTACGTATGCAAGGCTTACTTGATCTGGTTGTTTTATTTCACATGTGTATATTGTTCCTTTTGAATAAAAAGTTTCTTGGGACATGCTGCATAGCCATTCCTTTTTGTTGTATGAAAATTTATCACTATTCTTCCCATGTTAATTTTGTCTCTAGTAACAGACTTTCTGTTAAAGAAGTAATGACCAGCAACACATCTACTTTGTTAACTGAACTGTGGCTGTCTAATAAATCGTTTTAATTGTAAGCAAGTTATTTGAGTTCGTGACCACATTAACAATTCTCTTCATAGTATATTGACAACCTGTGCATTAACGACATTTTAGGAACATGGTTTAAAACATATGTTGTAATTCAACTTTACTCTTTTAATGCAGGTCAGATAGGAACGTAGAAGTTTCTTCACCTCCAAAATATTTTTGCAAACATGGAAATGAAACTACATTGATTTAAATGTGAATTTTGCCTGCTTATACACTTTATTTTTTTAATTTGTTATTAATAAATTCAATACAAACACAAAAATTACCTTACAAACACATATGCATCTGTATCAACATTCATACCTATAAACATACTTTCTAAAAACATACATCCTAATTACATGCAAATTTTAATACACAAATACACAAATAGACATCTAACATATTTCTAATTACTATCTAAGAAATTTCAGTCTATTATGCTTTTCTTTTACTTCCCAATCTGAGCACTCTTCTTTATCTAAGTTTTCCTTATCCATCTCTATGTATCTTATTCTGTATTATGTATATTGTCTCTTTTATAATCTTTTATAGCATGCTTTCTCCGATAATAATTTTATTCTTATATTTATTTGCATATTTTCCAAATTCCAGTTTTATTGATTAAGTTTTCAATATGATTTAAAATTATTGTTTTTAGTATTCAAATTTCCCTTAACTAATTGTTACTTCCGCCTTACGTCTAGCTTTTGATCTCTCCGAAACCTCCACCACTCTTCTCTCTTTGAGCTATTTATTAATGTAACATTAATTTTCTTTTTTCTTTAGTCTTTTCTCAATATATTTATTTACCAATTCCCACTGTGGCATAGTTTTTTCCATAGATTTATCTCTTAATAAATGCGTCAGGATATCCATTCTCATAGCTTCTTTCAGTTTGATTAGCCATTCTTCCATTTGGGGAATTTTGTCATTCTTCCAATGCCTCGTGAAGACTATCCTGGCTATTGAGATCATGTACAGAAGAATTCATGTTGGTAATTTCTTTTTATTACAATATCTAGTTCCTTTGTCATATTTAGTAGAAAGAGTTTTGGACAAAGAGGTATTTTTATATTAAATATTTCGTTTATTATTTGTCTTATTTTATACCAGTATTTCCTTCTTTTAGGGCATCCCCACCTCATGTGATATAATGTTCCTTTTCTCTTTTTTACACTTCCAACACTCTCGCTTCCCAGTTTTATAAATTACATCGATCTGGATTGGAGTAAGATACCATCTATGCTTATACACTTTAGACCAGGCTTCGAATCCCCACTCAGCCATGAAAACTGGGGTGACCTTGGGCAAGTGACACTCTCTTAGCTTTAGAAGAAAGCAAAAGCAAATGCCCCTCTGAACAAATTCTGCCAAGAAAACCTGGTGATAGGTTTGCCTTATGGGCTCCATAAGTTAGATATGAATTAAAGGAACACAACAACAACAGTATACTTGATATTATAAGTTGGGTCCTCTTGCATATATAAAGTGTGTTCTTCTTGTGGAGGGCTGATAATTAGAACATTGGTTTTCATTAGAACATTGTATAGCACAAGTGAAACTAAATCCAGAGATAATCATCTTTGTAAGCAAATGTTTTTGGAAGCATGAGAACTATTACACTATCTCCAAGTTATAGAATCAGGAGCCAGATAACAGAAAGAAATGTTCAGTTCTGACTATGGAGAGAATATAAGGTTTGGGTTTCTCTGTGGTCTGTATTAGGACTGATGTTTTTTTGTACAGTTCACAAGTGAACTAGAGTTAACAGTGCAGTGACAGTTTGTGGATGATTCAAAATTATGAAGTGTGGTAGTGTGGGGTTCCTAGAAGAAATGGATTATCTAGATCCATTTCAGTCTGGCTTCAGGCCTGGCTTTGAGACAGAGGCAGTTTTGGTCACATTGGTGGATGACCTTCATAGGGAAAAGGATAGGGAGAGTTTGTCTCTGATGGTCCTGCTGGACCTCTCAACAGCTTTTGATACCATGAACCATGGTATCCTTCTGGGTCGCTTTTCTGGAATGGGCCTGGGGAAACTATTTTACAGTGCCTCCAGTCCTTGTAGCAGGGGCAGACCGGTGCTGGGGGACTCAAGTCAACATCCTAGCTAGGTGTTCCTCAAGGGCTCACTTCTGTCCCACATGCTGTTTAATATTTACATGAAACTTCTGGGAGAGGTCATCCAGAATTTTGGGGTTCGGTATCATCAGTATATTGATGACATCCAACTCTATTTCTCCTTTCCATCTGATTCCAAAGAAGCTTTTTCTGTTGTTTGTTGTCAGTGGTCAGTAATGCACTGGATGAGGGGGAACAAACTGAAACTTAATATAGACAAGAAAGAGGTGTTGCCGGTCAGTTGGAAGGCATGTCAGGGAATAGGGATTCAGCCTGTGTTGGATGGGGTTACACTCCCCTTGAAATCTCAGGCTCACAGCTTGAGTGTGCTCCTGGCTTCAATTCTGAGCCTGGTTTCACTTGTGGCCAGGAGCACATTTCCACAATTAAAACTAGAGCGCCAGCTACATTTGTTCCTTGAGAAGTCAGATGGTTACGGTGACAAATGCCTTGATTACATCCTGTTTGGATTACTGAAATGTGCTCTATATAGGGCTGTTCAAAACTTCAGCAGGTCCAAAATGCTGCAGCCAGACTATTGACTGGGGTTGGCTACAGGGATCATGTCACTCCCTTGCTGAAACAGCTACACTGGCTATAGGTCTGTTTCTGGACGGAATTCAAGGTGCTGGTTTTGACCTTTAAAGATTATCTGAAGGACCATATCTGAAGGCCAGAGTGCTAACATCATCAGAGTGGGTCTTACTTTCAGGTCCACCCACCTTTGCAGGTGTGGTTGGTGAGGACTTGGGGGAAAATGCCTTTTTCGTGGCTGCTCCCAGACTGTGGACCTCCCTTCCATGGTAGGTCAGGTCAGCCCCCTTGCTACTCTCTTTTTGCCAGCAACTGAAAACACTTTTACTTAGACAGACATTTGGTCTGTGAATTTTAATTATGCAGTGTGGTATGCTGTTTTAATGTTTTTTACTTTTTAAATGGTTTTAATTATGCTGTGGTTTTAACTTATGGTTTTAATTTTAATATTATTTTGTTACATTTAACTTTTGTAATTAATGTTTGAGACCTTTTAAAATTATTGTAAGCTGTCTTGAATCCCATTTTGGGAGAAAGGCAGCAGATAAATCTAATAAAATAATAAATAAATAATTCTGATTTGCTCAAAAAGGATCTCTCCAAACTGGGTAAAAAGGCCATTAAAAAAGTAAAATAAGGCAAGTGTGTAAGCAAGTGTGAAGTGATGCACAATGGGGCAGAAAAATATGTCTTCATCTAAGTGTTAATGTAATCTGAGCTGCTGACATATGTTCAACCCAAACAATTTGCTTTAAAAGAGTACTTTATACAAAAGAATCTATCTTCATCTAAGTAGGAAAAGGATCTTGGAATTGTGATGCATAGTTTAATGAAAATGTTGATTATGCAACAGTGTGAAAAGGACAAATTACATGTTAGTGACCAGGGATGGAGGGGGGAAAAACCCAGTTAATCCCTCAACCCAGTTTTTTTTTAAATTTAACCCATTCTTCCCATTTAAACCAGGGTTTGTTTTGTTTGTTTGTTAATATGTAGGAGTACACCAATACAGGACTAAATCAGAAAATTAAGTAACAAAATGCAGTTCAGATGTTATGGCCGTTAGTGTAAATAATAATTTTTCTGTATAAAGTACTTTTTTTAAAGCAAATTGTTTGGATTGAACATAAATTGATTTATGGATTTGTTTCTCAATGGCATTCCTTGCACTATAAAATAAAGTGATTAAAAAGAAGCAGCTGACCATCGATACTCATTTAACAATGAACAACAGCCAATAAACTTTTTAAATGTTTTAATTCAAATGGTTATTGTTGTTCCAGTAAGAGGATTAGAAAATCGTAATAATAGCCAGACTTTACAAAAAACAATAATCAATTTTTTAAAAAGTTTTTTTTAAAAAAAAAAAATCATTTGGTTTAAACCAACCCTGGTTTAAACTAGCCTGCCCTCAGGAATGTGATTGAAAATAAAAATGCAATGTTGTACTGCTCTGTTAATAATCTGTGGTGAGACAATATTTGGACTATGATCTGGTCAGCACACCTTTTGTAGAATTCATAAAGATGTAGAAAGGAGCAGCCAACACTTGTGAAAGCAGGTGCGCATGCAGGTCTTTGAATTCAAGAACTAGTATTTTCATGTTCTTCAGGCTTTTTATTTATTTAAAATACACAATTCTGCTCAGTTAACAGTGGCAAGTTAACTTTCCATTTCTGTTATATCACATTACAAGACTAGCAAGGTTGTATTTTGGATTTTCATTCTGACTTACCGTATATACTGGACTATAAGTCGAGAAATTTATGCCCAAAATTGACCCTAAAATCCTGGGTCAGCTTATATGCTGGTTAATACA